CCCCTCCCACTCGCCTCTCTCGCAACAGCCTTCACGCATCCTTTCCAAACCAAACACCCAACCAAACATGAAACCCTTCAGTCTCCAAACGCCAAACACACGCATCCAAACGCAGCTGCCTCCACTCCAATCGCCCCAAGAACCCTTCCATGCCTCGCACAACGCCTCATAAACAACACAACTGCGGCAATCACGCCCACTCTCCCTTCCAACGACGTGCACTACAACATGCGCACTCACCCAGACACCCACGCTGTCCCCACCTAACGACGCGCATCCACGCACACATTCTTCCCCCATTCCCACAGACAGGCCAAAGCCTTCAACGCCTCTTCCCTCCACGCTCCTGACCTCCACGCTGCACCATTTCACGAACGCTTGTTCTCACTTGTATTCGTCTCCACTAACAACTAGCCTATGCATTCAAACCCAACAACTCGCCTCAACCCACTCTTCATTTTGCTTCTCTCCTGCCAATTTCACCTTCCCCTACAAACCCCCCTCAAACAAAATGTGACAGTTCTGCATGTCAACGCAACACGCTGCGCCCAACGCACTTCCTGCAAGTTCTGAAGCACTGCGCTAACACCCTCTACTATCTCCACGACGCAAGCACGCAATGCGTAAACAGCCTCACCACACACAATTGAAGAAAACATGCCCACTGTGCTCGCTGCAGACAACCAAACAGAATCTCTTGAATGTGGCGTCGTCAGCACTTCCGGAAGAATACCAGCTTTTTGAAGCACACAGAGCCAAAATCAATTCAAAGTGTGATTGAGTGCCTCGCTGTAAACGTTAACCGGTGTTGTGTTGACCGAACGCATTAATTTGTTAGACTTGCTACAAATATCTAATGTGGCACGGGATAATCTAATATGCATTCCTATTCCCCAGTACAAAATACCTAGGTAAGAGCAGGCTGCAGTGTTAACAAAATCTTGATCTGAACAGTCAAACAAACCTGTGCGCTTCTTCGGGACTCGACGTAGCAGTTGACGACGCCAGTTTGCATGGTGAATTCAACAGCTCCAGATTCTCAGATTGCCACGAACAATCACGCGTACACGCATTCACGCCCTTTATCTTGCTTTGCCTCTCATAGCGCTGTTTCCACACTTTGTTTGATGCACGCGAAGCGTGCTTGCCTGAGCGCGATCTCAATAATCTCGATTCAAACAACCATTTGATTTCTTGCTTATTTCTCTCGTGCCTGCGCAGTAGTATTCTACAGGCACTTTAACCAGATTGAGCACCTTTAAAATCTCAAAAAGGCGAGGTTTTTGACCAAATGCACCACACGTCATGTGAAACATCACCTCCGTTTGCTGTTTAAGTGTTTGCTGCGTAAGTAGCTGCTTGAAGAGTCAGGGGCCGCTGTCCTATGATCAAATATTTGTTGCCGGATGATGCATCCTATCGTGAAGTTGCAGTATACGTCAATTGTTCTTCAGCTCACTGCCCCAAATGTTTACAGGCGCCTTTTGACGACTTAAGAGTGACACACCGACATACAATTCTCTGAGCTGCATGGAGTGCAAAAAAGGACTACCGCAAGCGTCGCCGCAGAACGAGGAAAACTGCGACATCATATCAAGCCAACTCACAACGCAGTTAGTTCCGTCAATCCATGATTTCTCTCCTAAATTTCTTGGTGTTGTTGCTTTGCCTGAACTACTTTTTAACATTTGAAAACACCGTAGAACCACAAACGTTGCAGCCATAAGGGCTGCGATGACACCAAATGTAAAAATGGTTCTTGGATGCCTTTTTGACTTCCAAAACAAACCAGCATTCGGTACTGTCGCGCTGCTGTCGCTTTGAAAAATGATCTCGGCGCTTTGGTGGAGCGGAGTAGTCAGGCCAAGCTCGCCAACAATATTCCGACCTGAAGATCTAATTTCCTGTGCATCGCCTGTCATGTTAGAAATCAATACGCACATGACGAAGGCAAGGTTCTCAAACCTGAAGCCCCTGTGGCTCAACTTAAGCTCCATACTTAGCAGTATGCCGTTTGATGTGCTTTATCGGCGCAGGTTCGGCTGCTTTCAAGATCAGAGGTCTTAAGACTATATTTTAGTAGTGCAGAAAAGAGTCCGAAGCTGCCTAGGGAAGCACTGGCTTTGCCAGATCGTTTCAGCGCAGCGTCTAGGCTTCCCGAGAGACCGGTTCTAGAAAATCTCCGCTCAGCGTGATTAAGCTCGAATGCAGCGTTGGACTGGAAAACAATATGCCATAGGTGGCGTAATGTTATTCTTTTTCCAGGACGCTCCAGGTTAGATGAGCTGTTCTTGGTTGGTTCCAGCTGATGATGCCCCAAGACCATTGTATGTCGTCGAACGTGTTACATGGCGGGGGCATGCCAGCAAACGTGATAATAGCTCATCATAAGATCTGTTTAGCTATTCTACCAAGTTAAAGTGATGTTTCGAAATGTGCGAACGCTTCATAACGTCATTTACCCCAAAATGATGTAAATTTAGGTTCACTTGCCCACATATAGTTGCGCTTGCTTTGGTCCCCTTCACCCCTCGTCATAAAACTAGCTCTCGCAATGATGAAAAACAACCCCATAAATGAAGAGATTATTGATTCTTCCATTCTAGGCTTCGGTCCTCTTGCAGTCCTGCGTATTTGACTGAACTGCTCACACGCTCTTGCAAAGAGTTGGTCTGAACTGCGGTCCGGTTGCTATTGCACGGCTGCTACTAAAACTCGCTCAGAGTAACGTCAAAGCGTTCAAAGCACAAAATAGTACCTTGAATAGGTTAAGGTGGTGTATTCAATTGAAAAGAATTCAAACTCTCCGAAAACAAGCAGGGAAGCCGATATAGGCAGCATAGAAGGAACCTAAAGGCTGCAAAATGCCCTCTATTTCTGTGATAGGGCCAGCCAGATTGTGTTTAATAAAAAATTATATATGAAACAACCCGTCATGCAACAAAATGGGCATCTAGTGAGTGCTGCAGTGTGACACTTGCGCCGTTAACCTCTTGTCTTCAGCGTACTGATTTGTCTTCCTATATTGCCTCACATTTCAGAGAATTGCACGCGAATTTCAATCGTTCACCGTGTACTAGCATGCAGCTGCCTAAATGGGCAGCGGCACGAGCGGGCGCAGCGAAGTATCCCTGGCCAACACATCGCTCGGCCGAGACCTGCCCGTTTCATCTATTGTGTGCGAAAAATCAATTGATGTATTAATTGCAAACCACTTAGAAACAAATAGTACCTCGTTGGTGGTCTTATCCAAGAGTCTGGCCCCTCACACTTTCTTCTCCCATCTGCATCATTGCTCTTGCTAGCTAGTTTTCAAAAGCGCGCGTAATTTTGACTAATGTGAGTACTGATGAATGCATACATCACGCAATCGCAGATCGCAGTTTACGATCTACTAGCGTTTCTGATAGCAGACGCACACATACGGCAGTTTACAACATTCCAACTCACTGATTCTTACGCTGAGCCAGACAGCTAGTCTCGCCTCGCAGCTGCTGTGCTGCCCTTGCCTCAAACAGTCCCGCATATTGGAATCACTGAGGGCTAATGCCCGTCGTCATGTGGCTACCAAAATGCAGCAGGCTCTCGTCTCTAAGTTTGCTACGAGAGCAGCTACGAAGCAGCCTGAGCAGAAATGGCCATTTTCCGACTGTTCACTCTAGATCAGTTAGAGCGGGGCTCCGCGAGGCACATGCACAAACGGCCTCGATAGCTTGACCTTAAAACGATGACGCCGCCTCTAGCTACTTTGATATGCCATGTCAAGCGTCGCTTCTATGGTCACTGTAGTGCACAGTGCACAGGCACTACAATAGGGCTCGCTAGTGACCTAGAGACGATAGCTAGCTAGCGACCCTTGTAGGTCGGCAACACTGGAGGAGGAACCTCCTACTAGGATAAAAGTAAGGAAAATTGTCTATGAATTAAGATGCATACGTGAAATGTGTGGAAAATGTGTGGAGACTGGGGCTGGCGATAGCGCCGGCACCAGTGCAGGCCTCCTCCCCATAGGGCCTAGGAGGCAAGCTCTCAGAGTGGGGCGAATCGAACAGACACATTTTGAAAAACTTAAGAATTATTGTATTTCGATAAAAATAAGCTACAGTTTACAGGAAATGGGCCTACGTTAGGTGCCGTTTGTAGGCCCTGCTCGAGGGGCAGGTAGCAGCGTAGTCGCAGCAGTAGGCGCTGTGCACTACATTTGGGGGCTGCTCCGGGATTGAAATCTTTGTTTTTTCCGAACTTGGGAGTAGAAATACCAAGTTTTAATAACTCGTGCCTAGAAATCTTCGCTCGGTAAGGGCATCTCCGCAACGGTCGCGTTATCGGCCCCACACCGCAGGAGACTTCTACGATGTCAGTCAACAAAATGCCGAGGGGGACCAGCCCATCATCGCCACGCCACTCCGAAGCCCACCGTGGCAGAGCGGCCGCAAGGGCATAAGGAGGCGCCCCCACAGGTGATATCTATGACCAATGTTATGCCAGGGGACAGTCCCTTCGTCACGTGGGACCAATTCCAGTCCGCTATGAGTGTGATTAGAACTGTAATAGGGGGAACCGTGAAATCCGGCGCAACGACTCCCATACTACCAGAAGATGGCAGTACTATGCCGGCCTTTCTGCTGCGCATCGAGCGCCGGTACACCCAGATGGGATTGGAACCGCGCGAGTGGGGAAATGCACTTATAGACCACCTTGTGGGCCGGGCTCTAATGTATTGGATGTATCTACGGAGAACTATCGACCTAAGCGACTGGGCGACAGTACAGCGCAGGCTTCTGGAGCGGTTTGACAGAACAATGTCGCAGAGTCAATTGTTAACGGAGTTGGCTAAAGTACGGTGCAATGGTAAG